GACAGTACCCAGGGGACAGTACCCAGGGGACAGTACCCATGGGACAGTACCCAGGGGACAGTACCCAGGGGACAGTACCAGAGGACAGTACCAGGGGACAGTACCCAGGGGACAGTAACCAGCAGAAGTAGTAAGCGCTGGGTGTCGCGCGCCACAATCATTCAGTTAACACTCTTCACTAACGTGTTTACATCACACTCTCCCAGCAATAAAGAAAAGGGAAAGAGTAGACGCTTTTGTTAATATGTTTTTCTTCTCTGTCTTGGTCTGTCTCTTAGTGTCTGTACTCACCTAGTGAGTCCATATTGTATGTATATCTGTTTGTTATATATATATATATATATATATATATATATATATATATATATATATATATATATATATATATATATATATATATATGTCGTACCTAGTAGCCAGAACTCACTTTGTAGCCTACTATTCAAGGCCCGATTTGCCTTATAAGCCAAGTTTTCCTGAATTAATATATTTTTTCTAATTTTTTTCTTATGAAATGATAAAGCTACCCATTTCATTATGTATGAGGTCAATTTTTTTTATTGGAGTTAAAATTAACGTAGATATATGACCAAACCTAACCAACCCTACCTAACCTAACCTAACCTATCTTTATAGGTTAGGTTTGGTTAAGTAGCCGAAAAAGTTAGGTTAGGTTAGGTTAGGTAGGTTAGGTAGTCGAAAAACAAATAATTCATGAAAACTTGGCTTATTAGGCAAATCGGGCCTTGCATAGTAGGCTGAGAAGTGCGTTCTGGCTACTAGGTACGACATATATATATATATATATATATATATATATATATATATATATATATATAAACATTATTCCAGCTGAGGTACATTCCAGCTCTCTCTCTCTCTCTCTCTCTCTCTCTCTCTCTCTCTCTCTCTCTCTCTCTCTCTCTCTCTCTCTCTCTCTCTCTCTCTCTCTCTCTCTCTCTCTCTCTCCTCTCTCTCCCTCTCCTCTCTCCCTCTCCCTCTCCCTCTCTCTCTCTCTCTCTCTCTCTCTCTCTCTCTCTCTCTCTCTCTCTCTCTCTCTCTCTCTCTCTCTCTCTCTCTCTCTCTCTCTCTCTCTCCCTCCCTCCCTCCCTCCCTCCCTCCCTCCCCTCCCCTCCCCTCCCCCCCTCTCCCCATCTTTCCCCCCCTCACGTTTCCCGCCCCGCGGACGAGGCGGCACAAGGCCCTTACAACACCACACTCAGAGATGTAACTCGCGAAATTATTGACGGAAAACTTCAAAATCTTTTTAGGACCGTGAGAAAGGAAGTTGGTTTCTGTCAGCCGACTGCTAGACGTAATATAGCCAGTAAAGGAGGCGGGGACGGTAGGTAGGTGGACAGGAACAGGAGGTGGACGGGGGCACTAGCAGCGGCAGTGAAGGGATTATGGAGGAATTCCATGGTTAAACTGGCATAAAGAGGGATTAAGGGAAGACACATTGGTCGAATTTGCAGTGTGGAGCTGTAAGTGTAATGGTTGCTTTGTGGGAGAAGGAAATATTCTTTGTCACCTGGAATGTGCCCTCCTTGTCCGCGGCGAACGGCTGCTGGTTGTGTCCGGGGGGGGGGGGGAGGAACTAATTTGTGTTATAGCTGCCAGTTTACATTGTTGAGAATTTGTAGGGAAACTGGCAGCGTATAATGTTATGACGGGGCAATACACTGTTATCACGTGACAATCTTATGAAGCTCAATACATTTATCACATGATAATGTTACAAAGTTCAATACACTGTTATCACGTTTAAGAAGGACAATACACTGCTATCAAGTGGCAATCTTATGAAGGTTAATACACTGTTATCAAGTGGCAATCTTATGAAGGTCAATACACTGTTATCACGTGGCAATGTTATGAAGGTTAATACACTGTTATCACGTAAAAAAGCTATGTTGAATATAATGTATAATATATATTTGACATATAATTCTATTCTTCGACATCAAATTCTAAAAAGTCTATGTTGAGCTGGGTTTTGAAGTTCATTGTTCTCCATAAAGCTGGAGATGTGATTCCGAATCACTCTTTCAAAAACTTTAATTAAGTGTGATTGGTAGTGCATCCGTGGGGTTGTTTTTAGCCACTGCTTGTGCAGCGGAGTTGATTTAAGAGCTTTTGGTATCTTCCCTGTATATCCGGACCTCTTTTGTTCTCCATATTATGCTTACATTTGTGTGTGAGCGCGCCCAAACAACAGGCTACTACAGGGTCACCATAGCCCGTGCTGCTTGGAACTTTTTGTTCCATGTAGCGAATCTTAAACAACAACAACCAAACCACTCTGGCATCAAACTTGGTATTATTCGGTTGTGACCCGCCCATACTGACCATTGTAATTAGTTGTGCTTGCGTGGGATGAGCTTGAGCTTCAGCTGTTTGGTTCCGCCTCTCAATTGTTAGTCAGCTGGTGTACGGGTTCCCTGAGCCTATTGGGCTCTATCATATAAACATTTGAATCTGTGTATGGAGTCAGTCTCCACCACAGCACTTACTAGTCCATTCCATTTGTTAACTACTCTGACACTCAGGAAATTGTTGATGTTTCTGTGGAAGATTTGGGCACACACACACACACACACACACACACACACACACACACACACACACACACACACACACACACACACACGGGGCGAAAGAGCCAGAGCTCAACCCCCTACAAACACAACTAGGTGAATACACTTTTTGGGAACATTCAGATTAGCTTGGTGTGGCTGTGAGTAACAAGGCGATTGGGTTCTGTAACTACTTTAGTGGTCAATAACCGCATCTCCGTCCATTAATTCCCATCTCCGTACGCCGTTATCTCACCCACGGTGTTCGTTACGTGTGCCCGGAGTGCTGAAGATAACCCAACGATCATCTTAGCGCCCAACGAATTGTTCCCAGGAAACAATTTTTCAAATTTTTTCGAAGCAAATAATTCCTGCCAAATTTTGCTAGTTAGGTTACGTTTAAGATGGTTAACGAATTTCTAACGAGTAGACAGACCTTGTAGATAGTAGACAGTAGACAGTAGACATATATATATATATACCCCCTGGCGGCCGAGGCCACAGTAGCGCCCCCCCTGTCGGTCGAGGCCACAGGAGCGCCCCCCTAGCGGCCGAGGCCACAGCAGCGCCCCCCTGACGGCCGAGGCCACAGTAGCGCCCCCCTGGCGGCCGAGGCCACAGGAGCGCCCCCCTGACGGTCGAGGCCACAGCAGCGCCCCCCCTGCCGGCCGAGGCCACAGCAGCGCCCCCCCTGCCGGCCGAGGCCACAGTAGCGCCCCCCTGGCGGCCGAGGCTACAGGAGCGCCCCCCTGCCGCTCCCTATCGCCGGAGCAGTTTGCCTGGCCAAGTATTGTGAGCTTCCGGTAGGCGAGAACCCAACGAGGACCTCATATACCGAGCCCCGAACACCACCTCCTCGTCCCTCCTCGCTGACAAGAACCTGCGGTCCATCTTTAGTTCTGTCACCTGTCTTAAAATATTGGTGGTGATGTGGCCTTCAAAATATGATCCGTTATGCGCGTGTGTGTGTATGTCTATGTTCAGACTGATCGATAACACTTATCATATTAATGCCGAAGTTGTAACCACCTAGTTCACTGCGGTTATACTTGGGCAGTAGGTCTTCCCTGAAGCGTAATTGGTTTAAAATTCTCTCTCTCCCCACCCCTCTTTTTCTTCACTACTACCATGCCTGCTCCTCTCCTCTCTCTTTCTCTCTCTCTCTCTCTCTCTCTCTCTCTCTCTCTCTCTCTCTCTCTCTCTCTCTCTCTCTCTCTCTCTCTCTCTCTCTCTCTCTCTCTCTCTCTCTCTCTCTCTCTCTCTCACTTTCCCTCCCCCTCACCCCTAAGCAATTTAATTCGCGCCTCTGCATGATAATACTTTTACCTACGCTCAGTTTATCCTTGAAATTGCCTCGGCCACAATACCTGTTTGCTGTGATGCTGAGTTATTCATTATGGCTGGACTCTTTACTGCATGGCTGGACTCTTTATAGCATGGCTGGACTCTTTACTGCATGGCTGGATTCTTTACAGCATGGTTGGACTCTTTACAGCATGACTGGACTCTTTATAGCATGGCTGGACTCTTTATACCATGGCTCGACTCTTTATAGCATGGCTGGACTTTTTATACCATGGCTGGACTTTTTATACCATGACTGGACTCTTTATACCATGGCTGGACTTTTTACAGCATGACTGGACTCTTTATAGCAAAGCTGGACTCCTTACAGCACGTCTCTACTCTTTACAGCATGGCTGGAGTCTTTATAGTAATGCTGGACTCTTTAAAACAAGGCTGGACTCTTTACAACAAGTATGGACTCTTTACTGCAAGGCTGAACTCTTTACAGCATGGCTGAACTCTTTATACCATGGCTGGACTCTTTATAGCAAAGCTGGACTCTTTACAGCATGGCTGAACTGTTTACAGCATGACTGCCTAATCTCCAAATTATTTCAATCTTATTTTGTATGTTTTACATTGCAATAAATGTTCTGATGTCAAAAAAATATTTAAAAAATAATATTGATATTGTTTAAAATATTTAAGCCAAATATTAAAACATTTTTAGTCGATGAGAACTTCATTTACATAGGCTGAGCACTGGGGCAGATGTGTGCCTAATGACAGGTGTGTACATGACAGATGTGGGAGTGTGGTAGGCTGGTATTATCAGTAATATGGTGACCACTAAGACAGGTGTGGGAATGTGGTAGGCTGGCATTATCACTAATATGGTGACCACTAAGACAGGTGTGTACATGACAGGTGTGGGAGTGAGGTAGGGCTGGCATTATCACTAATATGGTGACCACTAAGACAGGTGTGTACATGACAGGTGTGGGAGTGTGGTAGGGCTGGCATTATCACTAATATGGTGACCACTAAGACAGATGTGTACATGACAGGTGTGGGAGTGTGGTAGGGCTGGCATTATCACTAATATGGTGACCACTAAGACAGGTGTGTACATGACAGGTGTGGGAGTGCGGTACAGCATCACTGGTGGCAACAGAGACGGACTCTTCACCATTGACCAGCGGTCAGGACTCATCACACTGGCCGCTCCCCTCGACTACGAACTCCAGCCCAAG